ATGAAGTAGATGTACAGTAGATGTAGTCGATAGATGTCCAGTAGATGTATAGTAGATGTTACAGTAGATGTATTGTAGATGTACAGTAGATGAATTTAGTAGATGCATGGTAGATGTATGAACTAAGATGTAAAGTAGGAATGTCTTTAGATACCACCATACGAAGTGTGAAAATGACAATTATTATGTATTCCCATGTATCATAGTCAATTGTTTCCAGTTAAGTCATGTATATCTGCCTTGAAAAACAATATTAGCATAATCGTCGTCAGTATATAAATATATATATATCAACGTCAAGTTTATCAGTCAAGCAGTAGGAGAATGCATTATTTATTGTCAGACATAAAAACATTCACAGCACCAAGATAACATGCCAATCATAGTCACAGCAATTTTAGTACGATGGTTACATTCTTTTTGACACATTTGCTTGCTCTTGATCCGATTTGGACCACAAAGTTGCAAGGGTTGTCATAAATGTGGACAGGGAATGGATCAGGACGTGCATTTGTAGGCGTGTGTGAAGTTTGCAGTATAGTGAGAAGATCAGTGTCAAATGTTTTCCGGTGTACTTATGTGGGGGATTGTAAAATGCAATCCAAGATGCACCTGTCATGCACAAAGAGGGTCACTGTATCTGGCGATACAATGAATTCTCTTTGGCATTTGTGATTTTATGCGAACATTTAATACCTTAATGGAAATAAGTTTGCTTTATATTTACGCAATGTTTTTACATTTAACTATTCTGTGAAGACATCAGGACAACTGCAGCATTCAGTCAAGTGAAAATAAATCACCGTTTACTCTCGACCTTCTTAAATAAAGTAAATATATATAGCACATTGAGTGACTTTTTAGCAACATGCCCGCAATATCACGGCGTGGGACACAGAAATGGGTTTCGTACATTGTACCTATGTTAGAATCAGGCCTTCGAAAGGTGAACACTCCATTAGGACTATTTGCCTTTGCATACTGGTGAAGTGAGGTGAGTAGTATGGTTTTACGCTGCTTTTAGCAATATTCCAGCAACATCACGACAGGGGACACCAGAAATGGGCTTCACACATTGTACCCATGTGGGAAATGGAACGCCGGTCTTCAGCGTGACGAGCGAACGTTTTAACCACTAGGCTACCTCACCACCCCTGCATACTGGTGACTCTGACCATTGTCAATGGTCATAAAAAGTTATATCACGTGGACACACATGTGGAGGAGGTCAAGCTTGCCAATGCTGGTGATTATCCTCTAACAAAAAATATCTTAGTAATAAGTTGATAGTAACCTTATTTCACTAATTAATAAATAATAGCTCCACACGTCGTCCCTTGACTAGAAGAAGAAAGAGAAGAAGAATTGTAGAATGTTTCAGTATAAAAGCCACAGGCACATGTCCATTACACAACAACAATATATACTCATGGAAACGAATAGGGGAAAACACGAAAGTACAAAAGTCCTTTTATTTATTTCCAGATTTTCACCAACAGTGCAATATAAACCATGACAAGAAACCCGGAAAAGAGTATTGGAACACATGCACTTTCGTGTGTTCCTTTATTTGTTTCCATGAGTATATACATACAATGTGGTGGTGTTGGTGGTTCGAAAGCTGTGCTGCAGATGAAGGGTATTCTGTCATTTTAATGAATTGCTAAAAAAACCTCTTCACTTTGATATGTCATCTTAATACACACTGAAGCCCTATCGTAATGAAACGTCTTAACACTACTGTGTACTGTTCACAAACGGGTGTTTATAGGTATGTGTGTACTTTAAGAACGATGTTGGGGGGGAAGGCTGCTAGCGACCAGAAGTTTAGCATTTCAATTGATGAAATGCATGAATAGTGCTGACAGGCTTCTGAGAAATCCGCGTAGGTCGAACATATCCATACCACACTATTCACAGTGTTAGGGTTCGAGTACTCAACCACGATCAAGAGACGTGATTTACTGCCATCTATTCAGGACCAGACGCCAAGGACACAAACACGGTTTGCAAGCAGAACTACTTACTGCGTAATAGAGAGAAACCCCAATATACATATGTCAGCTCAAATGACACCTATAACAGGTGTGTTTTTGAAGATGTGCCAAGTAAGGGTATAATATGTTACACCTATGCCTGGTGGTATCAGGGTTATTCCACCCACCCCTCCACACACTCTCGTCATATTACCCCTGCCAACTGCTCCCAGGTTGATTTTAAGTATAACATGATACAATATCTATGTAGCATAAGTTTTATTTGGTTTGCTCAACGCCGCTTTGAACTGTGTTTCAATTACATTACGGCGCATAGCCTCAATATTCAGTACCGTGAAGAGCCAGGTTATAATCGGTCAGATACAAACCATGCTTGTCGTAAGGGGAGACTAACGGGATCGGGTGGTCACACTCGCTGGCTTGCGGAGTTCGTTGTTCTTTTTGTTGATCACCGGAATGCGTGGCTGACATTCGATCATTGCCTGCGTGTAGCACTAAACTATTTGAGAGTGACTGCGTGTAACATTTTACACGTATATCCCCAGAGTCCAGCGTGAGAGAGTGAGTTGGGAACTACATCACCTTTTGCAGCAATATTCCAGCAATGTCATGTAGGAATGGAACCACTAGGGTAAATCACCAATCACACATGCCAGAATACAAATATAATTTAGATAAATGCACCAAAGCCTATAATGATATATGTGGTCTAAAAATATGTATACTCTGATAAATATCCTGGAACTTTTCTCGTACAGAGGTTCATTTTCAAGCCAAATCATATGAGATGACGCTGAAAATAGATGTCCTATGAAAACACAGTCGAGACAAATCAAAAGATTTATCGTGCAACATACTCTGCTCATAGAAGAGATTTCTTATAGATATTGAGAGTTTTTGTGCTCTTTTGGCAAATTAGTTGCAAGTGTCATGGAAATGGTGGACGTTTTGGACGTTTGAGAAGTCATTCAAGACAGAATAGATATATAATACTCTGTAAATCGAGGTTGTGGCGAGCGCTGCATCATGATTTACTGGCATAGATGAATTTTAGGATTGTTTTATGCTATGTACATGTCAAAGGCTAAATTCAACATTCTTTATGAAAAGCCTGGAGCTTTCACGGGTTTAAAACGTAAATCATCTTTACAATTTCTTTATTCCTTTTAATACTATGGGCTCGAGAATAAATATACAACATGTCATGTATGAAATCAATCAAGTGCATAACATATAAAGATATGAATGATATCTGCGTGGTGACAACGTCAATGGATCAATGTTAGGATCTGACTTTGAATATAAGTTTATAGTCTCTCGGCCTGTTTTTCTCTGCCTTGAAGTTTGGCTCCAGACTTGGTTCAACGCCATCTTCTGGGGATATGTGGAAGTTCTTCAGGAGTCCGGCCAGGATGAGATGCAGCTCTGGCTTGGCCAAGTACTCCCCTAAGCACGCTCTGCGTCCAACAGAGAAGGGTAGAAAGTGTGTGATGGTTGTCTTCACCTTCCCCTCCTCTGTAAGGAACCGTTCTGGTTTGAAGGTTGCAGGGTCCTCCCAGTGGTCTGGGTCGTGGTGAATAGCCCAATGGTTTATCAGAACGTTGGAGTTCTTGGGAACGTCGTAGGGTCCTGTGGAAACACCATAAGAGATTTAACAAACATGCCTGGTTACGTGGTTAATATCGAGTCCATACGTTGATAAGGATCTTTTAGAAATAAGTCAGCGTTTCAGCTAATAGTGCGTGCGTGCGTGCATGAGTTTCTGTGTGTGCCCATGTTACTCCGTACTAGTACCAGTGTTATACTTCAAGCCAAAGGAGACACCATGACGCAATATACAAAGTACAGATGGGAGACAAATCGGATTGATGGGGATATTATTGCCGAGACCCAAAACATTTTTTTCCATATCCACCTTTACCTGAAATGTGATACTGACATAAGTTATAACCAGTGATTATAATAATAATAATAATAAATGTGAACTTATAATGCGCCTTTTCCATGCACAAGGCCCATGCTCAAAGCGCTAACAAAGTGAGTGGATAATAATACATATATACAATAAGGGACTAGTTGCTAGTCATAATGCAGTGAAAACAGATGAGTCTTGAGAAGTCGTTTGAAGGAATAAAAGTCAACTGCTGATTTAATGGTGATAGGGAGAGAGTTCAGAGTAGAGGGGCAGAGCAGACAAAGGATTTCCTTCCAAAAAGTTTGCAGTTTGAACCGAGGCACAGAGAGTAGGTTCAGATTCTGAGAACGAAGCTGTCTTTCTGGAGTGTACGGGGTAAGGAGTTCCTTCAGGTATTCTGGGCCTATGCCATTTAGGCATTTGTAGACAAAACACAATATTTTAAAGTCAATTCTTGATTTAACAGGCAGCCAGTGGAGGTTTTTCATGACAGGTGTTATGTGTGAGCGCTTTGAAGTTCTGCTTATGATTCGGGAGGCTGTATTTTGGACATTTTGCAATTTTGATAGCAGCTTCTGAGAAATACCAAAAGGAGGCTATTGCAGTAATCAATTCTTGATATAACAAGTCCCTGGACCAGACCGTGTGCTGCATCACGACTGATGAGATGGCGTATTCTGCCAATGGCTCGTAGATGAAAGCGCATATTCTGCAGAGTTGATTTACATGAGTGTCCATCGCCAGAGTTATTGAGTCAAGTGTAACTCAAGGTCTTTAACAGAGTCCACTGCTTGTATCTCTGCATCTGCTACCAAAACAGTTTTGGTGGTAATTTGTTTTACATTTGCCTGGATCAATAACCATCACCTCAGTTTTGTCATCATTTAACTTTAGCAAGTTGTTTGTCATCCATGACTTAACATCTTTAGTGCAGTCTGTTATTTTATGGAGACCCGTGTGAAAGTCCTTGGGAGTTGAGTTTTTCTGAAGTTGAGTGTCATCTGCAAACGAATGATGGCAAATGCCATGTTTGTCAATTACGTCTGCAACATCGGTCGTGTATGCTATGAAAAGAAGCGGACCAGAGTACCGATCCCTGTGGGTACACCACAGTGGACCAAGGAGGTTTGTGATTTGATGTTATCTAACAGGACAGTCTGACTTCTGCTTTCGAGATAAGATTGTAACCAGATGAGGGGTACCCCATGGATTCCAAATTGGCCCTTGAGTCTTTCCAGAAGGAGTTGGTGGTCGATTGTATCGAAGGCAGCAGAGAGGTCAAGCAAGATAAGAGTAGCTAGTTTGCCTTCATCAACAGCTGTAAGTAAGTCGTTAGAGACTCTGAGGAGAGCTGACTCGGTGCTATGATTTGATCTGTAAGCGGACTGGAATTTATCCAAAAGTGAAAAAGCAGAGAAATGATCCCTGAGTCGAATATTGACTGCTCTCTGAAGTATCTTTGATATAAACTTCAGGTTAGAGACTGGTCGAAAGTTTTTAAGCAAGTCAGAATAGGTTCAAACAGATGATCATCGGATCTTGGCCCGACCAAGGGATGCAACTCTGCACAACCTTTAATAACCGAACCACTCGTGATCCTGGTACAGTTGAAACAGTCAACAGTTTGCTGTTTTGCATGTTCAAAATTTATACGCAAATCTATGCAGCTAACGTACCGTTTATGACATATTTCAAACTGGAAAACAACAGTAACTTAAATAACCCCCAAACCGCAGTTCCAGAACTATTTAGTACATTCCACCGGTCCTTGAGAAATCTTACTACCCTGGAGCCAATGGGCAAGCGTAAATATACCTATTTTAGCGTCCTTTATTGCCCTGTGGGGTAGTCCGAAAGGGACAACAGTGCTGAGTCTCATGCTTTCGTATATCACAGCTTGAAGGTAGCTCAGGTAGGGGCGGTCAACAACGTTAGCCATACATCTCGACTCTGGAAACAAATACATTAGTATAAACAGATGTTGATAAGACGTCTTTCGTCTAAATACATAACCCATGACACCTTAAGATTGATTTTTTTCCAAAATAATAATAAACATAAACTTTCAAATGCTGACTGATAATATGGTGCGTTTTCCGTCGTCCCCACGATATTGGGTAAATCTGGATGTATCTCAATCATTGACTGTTCAAATCGATTCAACTGCTTTCATCCGAACAAATGAAAGAGATTAGAATTATAGGCTTTGCAATATCCCACTTTGGTTTCTTCCAAACTGACATTACTACGAGTTAAACACTGAAATTGGTCAGTGGTCAATGTCTCCTACCTAGCACCTCGTCCAGTTCCTGGTGGACCTTCTCCTGAATGTCTTGGTGGACAGCCAGATACAGCAGCGTCCACGACAACGTCAGTCGGACAGGGTCGTTACCGGCTGGAGTACAAAGAAGAAACAAGTCTGTGAGTGTTATCACGTCTTGACGATACTTCATCTTTATGGTGGCAATTCAGGTGGAACTTCAGAAGCTGTGGTATTAGTGATCGAGTGAGTATGGTTTTATGCCGCTTTTAGCAATATTCCAGCAACATCACGGAGGGGCACACCTGAAATGAGCTTCACGCATTGTACCAATGTGGGGAGTCGAACCCAGGCCTTCGGCGTGGCGAGAGAACGCTATCCCATTGCCCCCTTAGTGACCCCACGGGGCTTCATGAGCACTGGCAGCAGAACCTTAAAACCTATTCTGACCTGGTACAAATATTGCAGTCCCCTCCTCAACAGATAGTGAGATCGGTACCTGAATCAAATGTGTCAAGACCTATATTATAGAATACCCCAACAACTACATGCACAGTCCTACTTTTTGTATTACGTATTCTGCATTACTTTTGTAATCTACCCTCTCAAGTTGAGAGAAAACGCCGTTAGCATCCAGAAATTGGACACTTCGTCGACTTACCATTGAACATATCGAGTATGGTATGCACCACGTGATCATCTGTTAGACGCTGAGATACCTCCACTTCCTCTTCCTCATCTTCAAGTTGAGACAACAAGATGGCATCTAACACATCCCGTATGTTCTCTGCAGTAAAAGAGTAACACAATGGTGAATATTGTTCTGGGTATAAGGATTCCCAGTAATACTTCATTTTAATCAAATCCTCGAGCTGTGAATATGATTTCACGCCGCTTTTAGAAATATTCCAGCAATATCACGGCAGGGGACACCAGAAATGGGCTTCACACATTGTACCCGTGTGAGCAATCGAACCCGGGCCTTCGGCGTGACGAGCGAACACTTTCACCACTAGGCTACCCCACCGTGCCGGGTACTTCACAAACAGAACCCAGTAGAGCAAGTTAAAAGCTTGCTTCCTCTCTAGAAATATATATTCAATATAGCCGATGCAAAAGTCCATCAATTAACATAACATCAGTAAGTAATTCAACCTATAGCTCCCCTCGTCACTACAGATGCAGAACAAAGTCCCATAATTCACATAACAGCCGTGCAGAACCTTCAAAGTAAGTTCATTTGCTTAAAAAGGGTTCACAAAGGTTTTACTTCCAGAAAATCCAGTCATCAATACTTTGCTTCATAACATACCTGCAGCACATAATGTATGTGCAGATTGTCAGAAGATGAGTAGAACCTAATGGAACTCACCTGGGTTAAATGTTTCTTTGTGAATCTCGACTCTCTTTTCAATGTATTTCTTTAATCGCTTGACAGTCGTGAGCATGTTATTAAATCTTGGCGTCGGCAGCCACTTCAGAGGCGGGACGATATCCTCCCAGAAGAAAGATTCTGTCAGCTTGCTGTAGTCGTCCAAGAGCGCCATAAACTTTCGGAAGTCATTACTTCCTACGTCATGCCTACAATCAACATGACATCATGACAACTGTTGCTCACAGACCTACAATCAACATTACGTCATGAAAACTGTGTTGCACACGGACCTACGTTAATGAGTGAATGAGTTTAGTTTTACGCTGGTTTTAGCAATATTCACGGCGATGGACACCAGAAATGGGCTTCACACATTGTACCCATGTTAGGAATGGAACCAGGGCCTTCAGTGTGACCAGCGAACGATTTAATTACTGGGCTACCTCACCGACCCTACAATAGCATATACACATACAGTCGGGCACCGTTGTCTCGATATTCATGCGACCAAGAAAAAATATCGAGTTATCCGAACTTAGAGACATCCGACCAGGCCATATCATCACATATCACTATGAAAGAAAATAAAACGCTTCTCAGTATGGTTTGATTCGAAACTATAATCCCTTATCAGTCGTGTTTAGTCGTAACAGTGAGTACTTCCTAATTAATTCCTTCTTAATTAATCCTACTTACTAATTACTAATCTACTGTTTGGTAATATATCAGAGTTAGATATGCTTTCTTACATTCTGTCATTCGTATTGAGAGGAACATCAAACATCAAGTAATTGAATGCGAACAAATCACTCAAATCACATCTGCTTGAATGAGTGTATGTTAATTAAGGCCGCATTTATTATAGTTCCTACTTAATGACGGTCGAGTCGGGACCCGACAAACCAGTCAGTGGAATCACAACTAACGACCCAGAAGGTGTCTGAAGATGAAGCCAAGTGCAATGCATCCTTATTAATCAAATGTAACACTCACGTCTTGTCGAAGCAGACGCCACACATGATGTTCGCGTCGATGAGGGCGAGGTAGGGCAGAGGATCAACCGCCGTCTTCTCCGTCTTCAGCAGCTCTATCACCTTGGAGACAGACTGGTGAATCTTGTCCTCCAGGTGGAAGCCAGACAAGAACGTGTAGGACCTAAAAATAAAGACCTTAATTTTAATACCGTAACTACTATTGCTCCTCCACCTCCTACAACAACTACTGCTTCTACTACTATAACTACTACTACTGCTGCTGTTGCTACTGCTGTTGCTACTACTACTGCTGCTACTACTACTACTACTACTGGATCTTCATGTCGTAAGCTGACTCCCACCAAAACACTTAAGAACTTGAGGCCGATTCTTACGGTATCAGGACATATCACGGCAGGAATAGCAAAGAATGGGTTCCTATGTGGTGTCTACCAACACGACACACTACTAAGACAACGGACCAAATGTAAAACGTATTCCAGATTCGCAACAGCACGACTGCACCACCCGTGCCCAGATTTGTCACAAACTATCATTTCAGAATATGACTGACTGACTGACTGAGTTTAGTTTGTAGCACTATTCCAGCAACATCACGGCGGGGGACACCAGAAATGGGCTTAACACATTGTGCCCATGTGGGGAATCGAACCCGGGTATTCGGCGTGACGAGCCAACGCCTTATCCACTAGGCTACCCCGGCACCAATTTCAGAATATGAACGTCAACAAACTCGATATATGACTAATAGGGATGATAGCCCACCTTAGTGCCATACTCATCACCTTCCGCTGGTGCTTGAGTGTCGGCGTGTAGTCCGAGAACTGGATGCCCTTCTGGCCACAGGTCATCGCTGCAACTGCGAGAATATAAAGGCAGAATTAAACGAAAGTAAAGAATGAGTTGGGACGAATGCTGTTTTGGTCAATGTTCCAGTTCAGTCACTGACGTCAGCGTCCAATAGTTACCTGAGTGAGGCTGTGGACGGGCTGTGAATGCAGACTGTTGTTTGACGAATGTTTCATCCACGGCCTCTCTGGTGTTCAGATACATGGTGGCAACACGACCTGCACACATGGATACAACCATTAGAAATACTTATAGCCATTTTCATATCCCCTTAGAATATTTGTTAAATGTTGTTACTATACGACTTAAGTTTTAATTAATTTTCACATGAAGTTTCAATCCTTTATGACGTGTGTCACTGGTTGCGGCAGGATACGCTCATCTTTTCGCGAACAGTGGTATCATCGCAATTTGTCGGTGAGGTAGCCTAGTGGTCAGAGCGTTCAATCGTCACGACAAGAACTCGGGTTTGATTCCGCACATGGGTATAATATGTGAAGCCAATTTCTGGTGTCCCCCGTTGTGCCTTGATATTGCAAAACCATATTCAGTCACTCATACGTATAATGCATTTAGAATCGTGCAATGGGGTCTTCAGTAGAGAAGTCTTGAGAATATAAAAAGGGTTTTGTCGCTTTTATTTATAGGCATATCCCTTAGCCGTTGATGAATATACTAGTAACATACAAGCGAGCCATTCAGTCAGTCAGTCAGTGGTCTAATGTGTAAAACGACCCTTTGAACGGTAGTATAATATTATCATTTTTTATCAAGCATGGCAGGTTAATCTGGAGTGGAAGCCTCAACTCTTTACTTGTATAAGCACAATCGTGCATATGTGGTGCCCACAAACCAAGCATCATTGTCATGAAAAATGATGGATTCGAACACATTGTGACTGGATTCTGTTCAAAGAGATACAGCAATCACCGGACCACCTGTGTCTCCTTAGAATGAGTGAATGAGTTTTTGTTTAAAGCCACTTTTAGCAATATTCCCGCAACATCGCGGCAGGGTACACCAGAATATTTTTATTTTATTTTTTCCATATTTCATGTACAGGCAAACATGTATAGATAAGTTTCATAATAATACAATGGTATATGTATACATGTATTAAAATGTACAGTTGGCTGAAAAAGTATAATTGGCTGGATTTCTGTACACCAGAAATTGGCTTCACACATTCGATCCATGTGGATATCGAACCCGGGTCTTTGGCAGTCAGGCTACTGCACCGATAACATTGATACATTCAAATTCAATGGATACTGTAGCGGACCACAAGCATTTTCACCATTATGAGGACGGGTCATTTAAAACATTTTTTCAGATCTGACAATACCTTTGTAAACAGTCATATAGGGTCCAAAATATCTTCCCCAGTCATACAGCGTCTCGACTGTATCATCCTTTAAATCTGTAAACATATACAATATGCAGTGGTCGGTAATACTGCTTACTGCTCATCGTTCGTATAGAACTCTCTCACAGCAGCTACACACGGCTTAAACTGGCATTACTATAACACACACAATGAAAGACGAACTATTGCTTGTATTTCTGCTTCACCGTTCCTTCAGTCACAGTTTGCCATTCATCGAATGTTATTTGTTTTCTCATGTGGAATTATCTATATTTGTTTGTTGTGTTACGCCGCACTTAGCAATATTCCAGCATATGGCGGCGGTCTGTAAGTAATCGAGTCTGGGCCAGACAACCCAGTGATCAACTATATGAGCATCGATCTACGCAGCTGGGATACGATGACATGTGTCAACCCAGTCAACAAGCCTGGCCACCCGATCCCGTTTGTGAGAATGAAGAAAAGAAAAGAACTCAATATCTTCATATGAATGGACAAAGCCAGCCAAACAACAGTAAGGTCTAAAGGTGCATGTTGTCTCACTGTGACCAACAGTCAAACGAAACACGTGGGTAGGTACTATACCTAGAAGACTGCCGAGTAACGGAAGGCCCCTGGGCCCCGGGGGTAGTCGTGGGAAAGGACGGGTCCACCACAGGGTGAACAATCCGGCCGTGATGCCGATGATGGCACATTGATACATCTGGGACAACTCGGAGAAAGCTGCTAATAGCATGTTGTCGTGTTTAAATCACTTCAGCATCAATTGCCCATGCAGGTGATCTGTGAAACAGAATGACACATCTTATAGCAAAACCATTTTGAATGCATTCAACTAAATGCGTCCCTGAAAATTAATCTGTTATCCATGCAACACGTTCCCCTGCACACGAAGGGTAGTTACCTCTGTAAATATACACACTTAAGAAGTTATAGAATGACCTACCTTTTCATGCTGTGAATGTACCATGTTAAATAAGCATATTAAGAAGAAATGAGAGTGTTGTAAAACGTCTTTGGAGTAGCATACCTCGGTCTATCCGTTGTTCAAGATAACCAAATTGTCAACATTTGATCATAATGTCACCCATGTCGTTGTTGGGACAACAGTGTATTCATCTGTTATATAGGAGGTTCAGTGTGTATGTCACCCATGTTGGTGTTGGGACAACAGTGTATTCATCTGTTATATAGGAGGTTCAGTGTGTATGTCACCCATGTTGGTGTTGGGACAACAGTGTATTCATCTGTTATATAGGAGGTTCAGTGTGTATGTCACCCATGTTGGTGTTGGGACAACAGTGTATTCATCTGTTATATAGGAGGTTCAGTGTGTATGTCACCCATGTTGGTGTTGGGACAACAGTGTATTCATCTGTTATATAGGAGGTTCAGTGTGTATGTCACCCATGTTGGTGTTGGGACAACAGTGTATTCATCTGTTATATAGGAGGTTCAGTGTGTATGTCACCCATGTTGGTGTTGGGACAACAGTGTATTCATCTGTTATATAGGAGGTTCAGTGTGTATGTCACCCATGTTGGTGTTGGGACAACAGTGTATTCATCTGTTATATAGGAGGTTCATCTGTGTATTCAGTGTCACCCATGTTGGTGTTGGGACAACAGTGTATTCATCTGTTATATATAGGAGGTTCAGTGTGTATGCCACCCATGTTGGTGTTGGGACAACAGTGTATTCATCTGTTATATAGGAGGTTCAGTGTGTATGTCACCCATGTTGGTGTTGGGACAACAGTGTATTCAGCTGTTATATAGGAGGTTCAGTGTGTATGTCACCCATGTTGGTGTTGGGACAACAGTGTATTCATCTGTTATATAGGAGGTTCAGTGTGTATCGCACCTTTGTAACTGAAAATAACCCTAATTCATAAAGTACAACGAGCATGCTTTTACAACAGTTATATGCACATAAAAGGCGGTGGGGTAGCCTAGTGGTTAAAACGTTCGTTCGTCACGCCGAAGACCCGGGTTCGATTCCCCATATGGGTACAATGTGTGAAGCCCATTTCTGGTGTCCCTTGCCTTGATGTTGTCTGAATATTGCTAAAAGCGGCGTAAAATCCAACTCACTCACTCACTCACGCACTCAATGTAAAACATACGAGTCAATTCCTCTAGTCCTCTTTATTTCTTGTTCAGGTGGGAAAAATCAGTGACAGTGAATTGGCTATTTCGGGGTTATTAAACCATATGAGATCATTGATATACCTGAGGGTCACGTTACACGTCTTGGTCAAGGTATACGTCGTTTCAACGTTCTCTACCCGAGCTGAAAATCCGATTCATAGGCATAAAGAAACAGATCAGTATGAAAGGGAGCACAATGTATTCTGCCATTACAGTGACAGTCGCTTAACTGGAGACCCGCGGAGACCCGGTTAGGGATGATCTTCAGTAACCCTTGTCGTAAGAGGCGATTCACGGGATCGAGTGGTCAGGCTCGCTGACTTGGTTGAAACATGTCATCGTATCCCAATTGCTTAGATCGATGTTCATGTTGTTCATCACTGGATCGTCTGGTCCAGACTAAATTATTTACAGACCGTCGCAATATTGCTGGAATATTGCTGAGTGCGGCGTAAAACTAAACTCACTCGCTCACTTTTCTGGATAGCCAATACCCGGGGAACTTAACACATATGCGGGATTCGTTGTTCGAGACCATGATGATATTAGGGGGATTTTACGTGCGCTTTCCGACATGATGGGTATTTCGTACACGGTTTCGAGACGAGTGGACTGAATCCGTGTGCGAAATACGCCTCATGTCGGGAAGATAACGTAAAATCTCCAAACCATCATCATCGTCGTCCTGAATGACACTTGAAGTTAACGTCAGCGGGGTGTCACAGTAATGCTATGTGAGTATTAGTGAGTGAGTGAGTTCAGTTTTACGCCTCTTTTAGCAATATTCCAGCAATATCACGGCGGGGAACACAAGAAATGAGCTTCACACATTGTACCCATGTGGGGAATCGAACGTGGGGCTTCGGCGTAATGAGCGAACGCTTTAACCACTAGGCTACCCCACCGCCCCTCTATGTGTATAGTAACCTTCAATGGTAAAGCCCTTCAATGGTTTAAATGAAGCTAATGTAGATTTCCCCGGGTTCGGGATCTGAATCTCTCAACTCACTGGGGCCCCTTTTCAACTTAAATGAGTTTATTTGTTACTATCAAAATTATATATATATTCAGAGACTAAGCGTCGTTAGTCTAGTCCTGCTTCAGATTTCAGGATACTCGAATACTACTGAAGTTCAAAATGTTACTTGAGCAAATTTCACAACGGTATTTTGATCAAACCAAAATGGTTATCGTGTATAAAGGTTAACAGTTATCTGTTTGGCATGTATCAGAGACAACAATGTATCGATTGTGTACACTTCACTTGTAATGTATAAATAGAGCATAGATGAAAACAAATTAAGAATCATCTACCGGTGCCAATACAATTATATTACCAAGTGAAAAGAAAGCCTTTAAACATAACATAACACAACACAACATTCTTTACAATAAAATACAAAGCATCAAGTCACAAGGATATAGCTATAAATTTCACATACCTCTCCCAATATAAACCTCTGCATATATCACGAATGAGCAAGACGTGCTTCGTTGGACACTGACATCACCTGACCTACCCCTATCCTGTTATTTCTAATGCCCGGAGGTAGCCCTCCGCGCTCCCCCAAGCCATGACATTTTACCACACGTGAAATAGACCCTTTGTTGTATCCGCCATATTTACATCCGATAAGAAATGTACCATATCCCTCACAACTCATAAAACAATTTGTCCTCGGGGAAAAGGTCGACCTTACGTAACTTCAGCTGCACAAACAACGACGCGAGTCCTTGACAAACCACTGATATCTGAAATAAAGTCTACCACTAAAATAAAAGCGACTCCGTCATTTCCATATTAGTATAAAATATTTGCTGAAAAGGGAGAAGTATATGATAAGCATGTTATTATATATCATTATCATATAGTTATGTCAGCGAAAATACCAGCGTTTATTTCCCAGTTAAAGGGCAAACGCAACTGTTATGCACTCAATTATATATAACCATTTAACGTAATTTAGGTACACACCAATAATTATATGAATGTTGTATATATTAATCAAAATGTAATGCATCCAGATCAAAAGTAGAACGAATTTCAGCAAGTGGTGGTACCGTATATAAGTAATGACGTTTCTAATAATAAAGAGATACTTAAGTCTTTTTACTAAATATTATCTAAACGGTGTCACAAAAAAAACTTAAATCGTGTAAGATTAAATGTATATTGAACAGTAGGTAGCGGTTTCTGGGGCTGTTCGTTTTGTGCACAGTGTGTACACTGTTTTCCTGTTTTCGTTATCGTCCAGTGACTTCCGCGTGTGAAGATATATCGTCATCGGCACTTGTCATATGTGCTGTTTCCATAAAGCTAGACTTTATACAACGTTACGGCAGCGTTTACACACTCGTGTACACCGGTGACCTTGCGCTACCCTCGGGCTATATACCGACACACATGGGTGAACTTGTTGTCTCAGGGATCGGATACTGTCACACGTAACCACGTGACATGCATTGAAACTGAGAGAAAAAACCGGTTTAGTCCGTGCTTTCTGACTGTTTGAAGAAAATGGAATCTTTGAAACCAAACACATATATTTTAACACCACACACACACACACACAAACACACACACATACATATATTTATTGTAAATTTTAAAACTCCCAAGTCGGTACACAGTAAACTTTGAAACACACATCCATGATATCTAAAATCCTGTATAATTTCTGCAGTCATCTATGATTAAGCCGGCATTAATTCTTAGCGTTATCGAACTTTGTTTGATCGTAGCCAGATACTAGATTAAGAAGTTGACGAGCAAATAGTAACCAGTATAATTTCTGCAGTGTTTAGTTGATTCTTAGCACGAACTGTGTGCAGATACAACAAATAGCTGTAATTCAGTGGATGTTGATGGGACACTGAAGCCAACAAATAGCTGTAATGGTGATGTACATAGTTGTGTTTCGATATTGAGTCCACAGTGCCTCGGGGACTGTTTTCAGCCGAGGAACGTTTTCGTGGTGGCTATAATTTTCGTCTAATCCAATTTTCACGTGTAAATTTTCTTTTGCGTGCCAATTTACGTAAGTAGACAGAAACAATAATAGCGTATTTCATAATGTACTTTTGTACAATGTATGTTTATTATGCAGACAAATATGACCATGGTATTATTACATAGTATTAAAACATTTCAGAACAAAAAGAGAATATTCATTCAAACCGACGTACGTGTTTTTATCCTTGTCATGCGTATTACGAAAACAACCAGCGTACTGTCGCTGAATTCGCCGACGCAGTAATAGGCAGAGCTACTTGTAGAGCACGAACTGTCTATTCTAAATTTAGGATGTATATGTTAGTTATATAAGGAGCATATATATGTACAACAGCTCCTGGTTGGCAGTCAAGGATATCCTCGGGTATTGAAGCGCTCCCTATTGGAACATACTTGATGATAGTGATAGAATATAAAAGACTGTGTTTATGAAACACTCATATCAAGGAATCGAAATCTGACCATATATCCACATCTTGAATGTGAGTGGCGAGTAGCAGGCTATGATGACCCTTTTGCCTAACAGCTGGTGTTATCGCCTGTTTTTCGTTTATCCATCAACACAATTTTCACAGTTATTTTGCCTTTTATTGCGGAAGATAATTATCCTCTGGATTTTACGTGAATGAAATATATTTCATATTGAATGTCCTTAGGTATACACATTAACTACATGCAAATATGAATTAATAAATCGATGTTACAATTTAGAGTATCACTTATACAGTATACGCACGCACGCACGCACGCACACACGCACGCACACACACATTATCGATATTTCACATACTGACATCGCTACTTTTGAATAAATTCTTACCTCGCACGTGTTATGGTATAAATGTTACCTGAACGTAAATACGAATAATAGAACATCAGTATATTGTGACACTTTTTAAGTATGTAATTGAAAGTATTCGCACCGTATGTCTTGAGAATATATTTCACTTAAACAATGAGTATGTGATGGGATGAAAACGTGTTGTATTATATCAGTGTAAATATATGAATAAAATCAGTTAATGAGTCATGGTTATATCGTTTTACATCTTTGATGTATACAGTATTTATGACATGCATGTATACAGACAGCGTAAGTCTTTGGTATGCTTTACAGTGAAATGAAATATAAGCGTATTGCATTACAGGGGTATAAACAGGGATCGACACTATATAACGTCTTGTAGATTATCCCTGGTATAAATAAATAATATGTAAGAGTTCCTCCCGTTCCCCCATCCCAAATAATATGTATAAATATTCTCGAATTATGAACAAAACCTAACACAACATTTACTCACAAAATGATTAAAAGTCAAAAATTTAAGTTAGGGCTAGGTTTAGGGTTATGCTTAGGGTTAGGTTTAGAGTTTGGTTTAGAGTTGGGGGAACGGAAGGAACTCTTTCCTAATAATTTGTTGTCAGAATAGTATTGGTAAAGTTGTCTTGAAGTCAAAACTGTTGATGACTGCTTGTAACAGATATTCGTCAATGAATACCACATAGCTAGCTTCACACAACACCTGACCTGATTCACCGTGACCCAGGACATTGCTAGCTTTTCAGTCACGTGATGTCGGACCCTCTCCTCCTGAACACACGTAGCAGCTCAATGCTCATATTCAATGCATGCACACAGTGTACAATACAATAAGCGCAGTAGATAGGAACGGTGTATTGAACAATGTCACTTACTAGTGCGAATTTAGAGTTGTCTCCTCTTCCGTCTACAGCCGCATGCCTATCTCCTGAGGTGAAATGTACAACTTGTGTCGCTGTTGACATGCTGTGAGCGCCCCGTACCGTGACGAGGGGAACAACTGGGGCCCTATTTGGGTTCTTTCACGAGTGACGGAGAATCACGCTTATTGAACCAATGAAATTAGCATCTGAGAGAAACGTGCCAGTCGAAAGATGATCTGTGTCAAGGTGATAACTTCTGTACCTCATTTTCTGTGTTGATTAACCCCGGAGGCCCTGTAGAGGTTATGTCAAACGTGTTTATTTCAAGAGTTGACATGTGCAAATACGAAGGGTAATTTATTGGGTGTGCCATAAATGTAGAGCAGGTATACTTATACAAATACTGTTGGAAGTTTTACAATGGGGTAATGTAATGGGTAATGTCCACGTGGTGAAGACTACGGCTGAGTCCGGGAGCTACGTGTAATTCAATCTGTTTCGGGAGATCGGGGTTGTGCCGATTTTGTCTAATGCACCGCAATACGTTGTGCTTTCTTTGGGCTCTCCAGAAACCTTGAAAGTACGCTTGCACTCTGTGTCGTCCCGACAAGTACCAAGCCCTGTAACACACCGGTACAACACAATAACAATACCACACCAGTACAGTACCATGACAGTACCACGCCAGTACAGTACCATGACAGTACCACGTTAGTACAATACCATGACAGTACCACATCAGTACAATACCATGACTGTACCACACCAGTACAATACCATGACAGTACCACACCAGTACAGTACCATGACAGTACCACGCCAGTACAGTACCATGACAGTACCACGCCAATACAATACCATGACGGTACCACACCTGTACAGTACCATGACAGTACCACGCCAGTACAGTACCATGACAGTACCACACCAGTACAATACCATGACAGTACCACACCAGTACAGTAACATGACAGTATCACACCAGGACAATACCATGACAGTTCCACACCTGTACAATACCATGACAGTACCACACCAGTACAATATCATGAAAGTACCACACCAATACAGTACCATGACAGTACCGTGCCAGGACAGTACCATGACAGTACCACACCAGTACAATACCATGACAGTACCACACCTGTACAATACCATGACAGTGCCAGACCACTACAATACTATGACAGTACCACGCCAGTACAATACCATGACAGTACCACACCTGTACTATACCATGACAGTACCACGACAGTACCACACCAATACAATACCATGACAGTACCACACCAGTACAATACCATGACAGTACCACACCAGTACAATACCATGACAGTACCACACCTGTACAATACCATGACAGTACCACACCAGTACAATACCATGACAGTACCACACCTGTACTATACCATGACAGTACCATGACAGTACCACACCAGTACAATACCATGACAGTACCACACCAGTACAATACCATGACAGTACCACACCAGTACAATACCATGAAAGTACCACACCTGTACAATACCATGACAGTACCACGCCAGTACAATACCATGACAGTACCACACCAGTACAATACCATGACAGTACCACACCAGTACAATACCATGACAGTACCACACCAGTACAATACCATGACAGTACCACACCTGTACAATACCATGACAGTACCACACCAGTACAATACCATGACAGTACCACACCTGTACAATACCATGACAGTACCACACCAGTACAATACCATGACAGTACCACACCAATACAATACCATGACAGTACCACACCTGTACAATACCATGACAGTACCACACCAGTACAATACCATGAGAGTACCACGCCAGTACAATACCATGACAGTACCACACCAGTACAATACCATGCCAGTACCACACCAATACAATACCATGACAGTACCACACCAGTACAATACCATGACAGTACCACACCAGTACAATACCATGACAGTACCACACCAGTACAATACCATGACAGTACCACACCAGTACAATACCATGACAGTACCACACCTGTACAATACCATGACATAACCTCACCTCCACAATACCATGACAGTACCACACCTGTACAATACCATGACCAGTACCACACCTGTACAATACCATGACATAACCTCACCTCCACAATACCATGACAGTACCACACCTGTACAATACCATGACCAGTACCACACCTGTACAATACAATGACATAACCTCATCTCAACAATACCATGACAGTACCACACCTGTACAATACCATGGCAGTACCACACCTGTACAATACCATGACATAACCTCACCTCCACAATACCATGACAGTACCACACCTGTACAATACCATGACCAGTACCACACCTGTACAATACCATGACAGTACCACACCTGTACAATACCATGACAGTACCACACCTGTACAATACCATGACCAGTACCACACCTGTATAATACCATGACATAACCTCACCTCCACAATACCATGGCAGTACCACACCTGTACAATACCATGACAATACCACACCTGTACAATACCATGACATAACCACACCAGTACAATAATATGACCAGTACCATTCAAGAACCACAAAGGTACAAAAGTACCGCGACACTACCTCAGTGAAGTAAGACAACACTTGATTCTTTCCCAGCACAAAAGTTAATTTACCATGGCATGACAGATTGGTCATGTGAAAGTCATGAACGTGTATTCTGTTACGTGGCGCTCTCCACGCTGACTCACCAACACTCACCCAGACCGTCATTTCAGCAGAGGTCGAGACAACACAGAGTTTATGGTGACCTGGAAGTGTTTTGTGAAGATATACGCGCCTGGCTGACTTGGCTTTTACCTGAGTTCGGTATACCCGACCTTCGTGCCCGACAAAAGCCGATCCCACCGACCCGGCTTTAGACGAGCTAGTTCGTTCATCATGTCAAGGGGAATCGTTTCTCCTCCAAACAGCCTCCGGTTGTATGTGGTCAGCAAAGGCTGTCTTTGCAAAACATTATCATGAACTCTCAGTTTCAGAAATTACGTTAATTCGTAAATGTAATCAATGTGTAGATCATTGTACGTGCGTGCGTGTGTACATGCGTGCGTATTAGGGGAAGGGTGTGCGTGCTTGCGAGCGCGCGTGTGTGTGTGTGTGAGAGAGAGAGAGAGTGTGAGAGAGGGGTGTTCATACGTGTACACAAATACAAAATTTCTACTGTTGATCTTGAACTAGTGCTTCAATATGTATTGTATTCCTTCTTCGTTTATTGGTGTTGTTCCAGTAAATTTATGACAAGCAGAACTATTATATATATCAGGGGAACATTTGTTTGTTAAATAAATGTTGGATTTTTTATCTGCACCCTTAACTATTGACCCGTAAAATGATTCGCTCCCTCGTGAGCGACAGTCAGGTCACGTGATCACCCTCAGTCTATATTTATACTCGGTTTTGTTTGTGTGGGTCCGTGTCTCACGGTAGCTGATACCTCGAAACATACTGAAGCGGATCTATCTTCATAATCGTAAGTTCCCGTCATTTCTGAGCTATTCGATTTGTTTGTCTTGTGAATACTAACCAACCCCACAGAATATCTCAGGGATATTTTCACTGCACCAGGTGACACAGTTAGTATCTTGTCGGTGCATTTGACTTTCCCAGTCGCCATGCCTACTTACATTCAAATTTTCATGTCAACTCTGGTATATCTCACTCAGTGAATGTAGGATGTCGTTTAGACGGAGGTTTGGGCGATATCAATTGCCCGTGAACTATTTGCTTGAGGGTCTAAACTGGTGGCTTACGTTCCACTTTTGTCATTTGTACCTTAAGCACGACACGTTACATGTTAACAGGCGCAGTGTATGCGTGCGCGTGTGCGTGTGCGTGTGCGTGCGAGTGTATGTATTAGAATTTCAAGGTTTATATTTCAGATATTATCAGTTTTGGCTATGTACGTTCTCTTGAGGACGCCCCACTCACTGTTAAGGTCACATGTTATAGGTATAAGAATTTAACCGGGAGCTGTCTTGAATCCAACAAAAATCATCAAATTATTAATTTTAATTTATTGTTTAACGAAATTTCGTACATTAGCTGCAATTCACTGCTACAATCGAGTCTGACCCTCTCTATAGGAAAAATGGCTTTCATTTGGGACAATTCAGAAGGCGATGAAAGTATTCATTGGAAAACATTTACTTAGTAACCAGCCTATAACACACGATAGTTCGTCGAAAAGCCCTTCTCGAAAACGCTTAAATATTTTCCAACGAAAATTGGCAGACATACCAAGCAGATCCTGAAGCAGTGCCTTTTACTATTTGCGGACTTTTTTGGCATTTACTTATCAAACTTCCATACCAAGACCAGGTTGTCAAGTTATGGCTTTTGCTATTTGGGGATTTGTTGAATTTATATATCTTCAGTTTCCATGGCAAGGACTTCCAAATCTCAATTACATGGTATTTTTTATATAGCTCATACTATTCTTGCATTCGGATAGAAATATTAGATAGATCTTCACAGGACTCTCACCAAGGTTGAATTACAGTAATAGTCAGATGATATATTCTTTCGTCTGTACAAGGGGATTTGTCTTCCTCTGGTGACTCTTGTTTTCAATTTAGTCAAACATCATGGCTGGGACTTTGGAATGGATTAGTGCAACTGCTTTGGAGTACCGGATCACACTAATGCTGGCTTTGGCAGCGACGGTAATGGTGTATTTTATGACCCGGAAACGTTACAAGCTTCCACCGGGACCACGTGGTCTCCCGTTGCTTGGCAATATTCTAGGTAAGCGGAACATCAAAGCAGACGGAAAATGTTAAAAATATGAAGTCTCCATATTTGAAACTGTCCTGAGTTTAAGTCTGCGCGAATATTCTCTAAAATTTGAATTTTAACTCATAAATACATTTCAGGTTTCAAAGTTATATGCTTCTATAGCTTAGAATTTTAAGTGTGGCCCTGCCCATATACGTATATATGTTTTCAACGTTTACAAATAATCAAAATACATGTGTTTTGTTACATCAATTGCAGCTATACAAAACAAGTCACTGTTCCGGATGCTGATACAGTTGGAAAAGAAGTACGGCCCCGTGATAACCCTTAACCTTGGTAAAGCGGCTTTGTGATTGGTTCAAATTGTTCTAAGTTTCAAGGATACAACCAATGATGTAACGACAATTAATACGATATTCTTCCATGGGTGGCACAGTCGTCTGGTGGGCCATATTTCCCTGTAAAGCATAGAGGCCTTTGTGCACGCCACTGGCCCGTGATTGTGGCTTCGAATCCTAGTTAGTCCCGATTATGTGTTTTGGTGTGTCAGTCCATAATTTTCTCAGAAATGTTTCGTTATTAGAAGTTGATAGGAATTTAAACTTAGGATCATAAGGTTTTTGACAGTATACAGATGGTAACTATTTGATCTAAGAGCATTTTAGACATTACAAACAAATAAAAGGTGGTGCTCATCTTCTACTCCTAAATTGCACAATGTGTCCCGTTACATTAATATTTTGTCATTTACCTTCATTATACTTTAGTCTCAGTAATCCACATCCAAATGTAATCAATATTGTACGGAGTTTTCTGTGGACAATACATAATAAATATTTTTCAGGAGCTAAAACAGTTTTATATACAATATCCTGAGCGTTTATTTAATAAACAAGTCCATGACTGAAAAGACCTAACATTAACATGGTATGTTTGTCTGTTGTTTAACATCGCCCTCAGCATTATTCCAGCTACAAGACGGCGATCTGTAGGTGATCCAGCCTCAGTCAGCCTGACCACCCGATCCCGGAGTCGCCTCAAGCATGGGTTGTTAAAGATTAATTCTAACCCGAATCTTCACTGGTCCAGACTAAGGACTTCTGTTGGTCTGTGAGACCTTTATGGATTTCACCGTGCACAGGCTGTGGTCTTATAGCTGGGGTATTTTGTACTGCGACAAAATCTGTTCGGTGTTTATTATGAACGACTGTAAACATGGCTTGTTTCCCGTAGGTCCAATACGCACTGTGTTTCTCAACAACTTGGAAGTTGTGCAGGAAGCGTTCGTAGGGAAGTCTGTGGACTTTGCGGGACGGCCGCAGACGTTCTCAGGTTCGTTCAATAAAAAACATAATAAAATAATATGATAAAACCAACAAAATAACTTCTTGCAAGCACAATTATATTTCTCATTCAACAAGCGATGGTAAACATAGCTAAAGCTTAGGTTTACCATTTCTATAAACTTTGGAAAGTACATTTGCGATCACTGTGAAGTCTTACAATGTCCACATTATCTGCGAAGATTTCACTGTTCATGTGACTATTTCAGGATTGGCTTTCACCGAGGGAGGCAAGGACATTGCTTTCACAGATTATGGACCGACGTGGCAACTCCATCGGAAACTGGCACTGAGGGCTCTCAAGTAAGTCGAGAAACAAATGCAGAGATTCGTATCTTACTGTATCTTATGCCTTTGTTTCTGACGGGTGCCACCGGTGGAGCAGGATGCCTTCACGTTTTCGTCAAGACCTGGTATTCTCACACATGCTCATAATATTATTAAATTTGTACAGTTGAGTCTGCATTCATCAGGGATTTATTATGGGTGCAGAAAGGGTTTTGTCGCTTATATTTTTATGCTTATGGAAAGCCAGCCAAGAATAATGTCAATACTGTGACACTGGAGACATTTATTGGGGTGACATCGGTAAACTAGAACTATGAAAGATTGTTTGTTTTGTAGGCACTACATGAAAGGCGAGAGGTTTCAGGACACGATAACTGAAGTTATGGAAGCTGTGACTGTAGAGATGGGGACAGAGACGGGCTCGTTTGACATCTACAGCTACATCAACCTCGCCATCTTCAACATCATCAGCAAGATCTGTTTCAATGAGAAGTGAGCAACATAAATATTACTCCATATTTCTTACAGTTCAGCTGCATGGTGTTTATTTCCGGTGAAAAGAAAATGGTTTAGAATAATAACAAAATACTATTTACCCCACGACTCATTCGGCATACATGAACTGTGATATTAGGATCGTTAAGATATATTCTCATGAAATGATATTATGTTTGAAAAAGTATATAAAAGCTCCTCTCTCTGTCTTTCGTCTTTCGTCTTCCCGTCCGCCTTAATACACTTTTACATTTTGGACAGAATATATTGAATGTACAGATATTGCCCTTTATTCCGACATTTCGGCATCTGGTCAAATCCATTCCTTCTTCTTAGTATGTGGCAGTTATTTTGTGTTTTGTATGTTTCCCGATGTTTGTACCGAAGTACTACTTGTGAAGGGATGAGCACAACCACTGCAATATGTACGTTGGCATGTATGTTGATATTTGAAGATATAACGCCCAGAAAGATCCGAATTAGAACTGATCTTCAGCACCATTTTCTTATCCTTAGGGGCGCTTGACGGGATCGGGTGGTCAGGCCCCGCTGACCTGGTTGCCAAATAGCATCGTACCATACTTACGTTATGTTCCTCTCGTCAAACACTGGACTGTCTAGTCCAGACTTATTTTAACAGACCCTCTCCAGATAAACCTGGAGTAGTATGGATAGCGGAGTGTATTAAAAAGCCAAACAATATTTTGTTTTAGGTTTTCATCGGACAATGAAGAGTTCCTGAACGTCTGTAAGACACTTGACATCTTCTCGCAAGAAACAGGAAATGGATTCGCGGAAGATGTATTCCCTCCTTTAAGACTTTATCCAACAGCAAAATTCAGGAAGTTCATGAAACTAAACGACGAGGTACTTGACTTCATGTACAAAAGGATCAACTCACACAGAGAAACGTTTATAGCAGGTAGGTATTCTGAGCATCATGAGCATCGAACTACGCACATTGGGATACGATGACATGCATCAACCAAGTCAGCGAGCCTGACCACCCGATCCCGTTAGGCGCATTTTACGTCAAGCGTGGGTTACTGAAGACCGATTCTAACCCGGATCTTCACCGGTCTCAAAAGAGTTACCACGTACCAGTTCTTGTATCTATCGACGTCTTTAGAGCTAGACATCTTGTGTCAAGTGGCTACTATAGCTTCGTTGGCAAGTGAAGTAAGCTCCACTTCAATGTAGAACTTTTCTCTCGCTCCATCTCTTTTGCAATTCAATAATATTGTCTGTCACACAAGGTATAATGAGCGGTTGTATCTGGTCTACAATGGTCTGTATGTTGTATAACGTCGCTCTCAGGAAAATGAGGATGCGGGCTTGTATATAATCTAGACTTGTCCTGACTCCACCTTGGTTGATCGATGTTGCGATGCACGAATCCCGGCACAGGGTTACTATGACACGCAATCAACAAGGTGTCCCAGTCTGGCCACCCAATCACCAAAGTCGCCTCTTACAGCAAGCACGGGTTGTTTTGGGCCTATAATAATATCCTCGGGGAGATCCTTCAAATTCATTGACATCTCATGAAAATAATTCACGAGCTACTTGTATTTACCGTATATTTCCCCTAAGGATCTGTGACATTAATGGAATCGTATTTTCACAGTTTCGAGATGGTTTTATTGCCTTTGGAATAGTAAAATGTACGACAAATGTTAACGTGACAAAGTCCCATCACAAAGGACCTTCAAAATGTCTCGCGTCCATAATCCAAAACTAATGCATTTCCATGCAGCGGAAAACAAGCGAACTGTTTCGTGCAAAATATCTCGCGATTCCTAATAATAACTTTGTATGTTTTTATCGCTTACTTACAAAAGCAGTATGCGAATCGGAAGAAACGTGTTATTGCAATTAATTCATTATCACTGTACCAAATGCGAAAAAACAAGTAAGTCAACATCGGAGAGTGCGGTAATGTCAGCTGAAGTTGGTCGGATCTGTCTGCCGATTTTAAAGTTAAAACGTGAACATTTGATGCCAGATATTCTTAGCAGCACTGGATGGTGGATAGAGGGGTGTGCAATATATATCATAATGCAGATCTTATCCGGAATCAGATTCCAAAGTAACTTCTCCGTCCATATCAGCGCGGGGATGAACATCTGAAAGAACTGACTGGTGGTACTGTCCACAAATGAAATTTCCCCATTACTGAGGCTGTAATACCCTGAATCCGCTTCCCCAGTGGGTGGGAAGACCATTCATATATTCACAAATAATTAGATAACCACTTAACTGACTGACTGTGTTTGGTTTTACGCCGCTTTTAGCAATATTCCAGCAACATCACGGCGGGGAACACCAGAAATGGGCTTCACACATTGTACCCATGTGGGGATTCGAACCCGGGTCTTCGGCGTGACGAGCCAACGCTTTAACCATTAGACTACCCCACCGCTCCAGATAACCACTTAAACCTACATCACATGATGGTATATCTGTGTCTATCTGAAAACATTCGTTAGAGTGGTTCCCTGCTTTGAGAAGATTTGAGTCGAGGCCACTATATAGGTTTTTAACGAATGGTTTACTTTACAGGTATCAAACATAAATGTTTCTAAAACCACGCATGCCTCATAAAATATCAATTTCCTTATGTAAAACATTGAGCTTGTGTCAATAAGTGTTGCCCTTTTTACCTCCACAAGACTTGGTTTTTCAGATGCACAACGTGACTTCACAGACGCCATGTTGATTGCCCAGAAAGAGGCAGAGGAGGAAGAGGACCAGGAGCTACTAGAACAGATTACCAACACGCATCTTGGCCAGACAGTAGCGGATGTTTTCGGAGGTAATCAAAAGCATCGCGAGAAAGTAGGAAGATCGCTACTACTTGAAACAAATATCTTTGAAACATATCGGTAAATTGATCAGACACAATTATAATAATGTTTGTCAATATAGAATTATGTATCTTCAATATCGAACGTAACTATACACAGATATTTAAATTGTGAATATTAAATTCCCACTTTTGTTTTATTGTCTTTTAAAAGTCTGCACCGTAATTTACGATATAAACTTTCACCTGACAGCGGGCTTGGACACGTCTCGACAGACTCTGTATTGGACAGTCCTGTACCTTGCAGCCTACCCGGAAGTACAAGCGAAACTCCATGCGGAAGTGGACAGGGTGTTGGGAAGGAAAACCTTCAGAATTCAAATCATTTCCTGTCAGTGCCATTTTCAAATGAAGTTTGCGAAGTTTATCACAGGCATTTAGACAGCATTTGACATCGATGCTGAAGGATACAGTATCTACGCCACGCCACGCCACGCCACGCCACGCCACGCCACGCCACACCACGGGTTGTTGTAGCCCTACAACTTATAGCGTAGTGATGCCTGTTGTAGAGCCTGGTCGCCTTGTTACTTGCAGTGTAACTGATACTCAATCTGGAGTAACACATTTACGACATTTTGTACATCTGTTTTCGTTGATGTATCGCAATACAACCGGCAAAAAACCCTTAAAATAATGATGATGCAATATTTGTAAGATTCCGACAACATCATGAGGTGTTACTGAATCAGTCAAATGGACGCGCATTCTGTATCACCGGTCACAAACACATGAACAGGCAAGTCACACACAGGATTATTATGGTTTATGGAATTGCATTGTACTTTATTTTTGTCACTGAAATATTCTCGTCATGTCTACCAGAGCCTCCTTCACATTGTAATCGTAATAGAAACAGCCTTATCGATTGCACCTTAAAGGTTGTCAAACTTAGACCCAAAATCCAACTGAAGTAATACAATTGCCCAAATTTGATTTTCACGGCACCAAAAACTTGATTTCACATCTCGTATATTGCGTGTGCATTCCGCGAGATGACCGGATTTGCGGGTACACATGATACGAACAAATTCGACGATCATTTCAAATGAAGCTACCTGTTACAAAACATTATCCAGTAGTAATCAGGTGCTGATTTGCAACGTCGTTGTAAATACCATTGTAAATAATCACCCTTCTTTGTATTTGTAATGAATCTATCTCTGCTATTTGAAAAGTAACATCTTGCTTTGGTGAAGCCGAACATATTTGTGATAAATACCTGATTTGTATTTACTGAATTTGTATTTACTGCTAAGACTCGAATTTGGTCAACTAAGATTGCCAATTGTAACCTGTAAATGCATTAGGTGTTCAACTACAGTCCGTTTGAGTCAGAAACGGACCGATGAATGCAATAATAGAAGCACGTGCACAAGTGCCCACCAAGTTATTGATTCATTAACCTGTGCTGGGCCGTCTCCATCCTTTCTCGCACACCTGGCTGTCCCTTTCTCTGCACTCCTCCCTCGTAACAAATAGTGAACTGTGTCAAAATGTTAATGATAGTTTCTTAAAGAACTTTTTGATGGAGTCCGGAAAATTTTTCAAATATAAGAAAGCTGTTGGGTATTAGTAAATGATAAGCTTATGTACTATTTATATTTCTGTGGCAATTTTTGTACAGTGATAAAATTTGCAATTCATCGGTCCGTTTCTGACTCAAGCGGACTAAAGTCCGAGACTCGTTTAGAAGTATAAACTGTCAGTAAGGACTGTTTCTAAACAATTTTCACTCACAGGTGAGCGGCGAGTACCGATGCTGTCCGAGCGACACAAGCTGCCGTACACCGAAGCCGTGCTCTATGAGAGTATGCGGAAAGGGACAGTGGCGCCTCTGAGTCTCCCCCACTCAACCACTTGTGATACAACTGTCGGTAAGACGGGAGCAGTACAGAACTGTATGTTAGGCTTTGACATAACGACTACGTTTAATATCAGCATTTAAGATTTGCGCTATTATTTGGGTCTGTATACATTGGCAGTTACATAGTACTGATTGGGCATGGTGATGATATTTACAATATGTTCCTCTTAAGGGCACCACAGTTAGAACTGAAAAGGACAGAATTACACACATGAACTGTCCAGGATCCACAAACCGAGGGATCGAACCTCGGACTTGTCAGGATTATGATCCCATTAGTTTGCTAGTCCGAGACTTCTGCAAGTAACATATTTCATTTCGTACTTAAACTGAAATAGTTTTCCAAGCTCCTCACTCACCAACCTGCCCTAAACCCACCCAGCCACCCACTCACTCACTTACCCAAAATCCAACCCCAACCCACTCACTCCTCCAGTCACTTACACTTTTCATCTTTTTTAAAATTTGTTTTTCTTTCCGACATATTTTCGCAGCTGGCTACGAGATTCCTAAAGGGACGATGGTGTTTGCCAACATCTTCGCTATCCACCATGATCCAAGACACTGGAAGGAACCGGAAGTGTTTTTGCAATCCCGAACGTTTCCTAGACGATTCCGGAAGGTTTGCACCGAAGTCTGAAAGTTGGATGCCTTTCTCTGTCGGCAAGAGGGCGTGTATGGCGGAAGCTTTGGCCAAACCGGAACTGCATGTTGTCTTGGCCTCGTTCATGAGGTGTTTTGAGATTCGACTGCCGGACGGAGTGACCCCTGACCTTGAACCGGAAGACGGAAGCTTTACATTTATGCCTAAGCGCTATCAGGTTGTCGTCAAAAACAGATTTGCATGAGATGGGAAGATGTGACAATCCAGGCGATGTCCATGTGTACTTGGAGGACCAATTTTACACATAACTGAATTATGCTGATAATATATGTTGTCAGCTTACGTAAGAATAATTTGGTAGAAAGTAATGGTTGATGGAAGCATTTTCCTTAGCATACATTACTAGTTATCCATCTTTAAATATAAAATATTGTGTGCTTTGTCATATCTAGCTCGTCTATAAATCGTCGCCTCCAGCTATGTGATTTCATAATCACCTTTTGCCATGTGGTTCTATCGTTACCTCTTACCATGTGTTCCATCGTCACCTTTAGACATGTGATTCCGTCGTCACCTTTAGACATGTGATTCTATCATCATCTCTAACCTAGCCATGTGGTTCCATTGTCACCTCCAGCCATGTGGCTCATATCGTCTCCTCCAGCCATGTGGCTCTATCGTCTCCTCAGCCATGTGGCTCTATCATTCTCCTCAGCCACGTGTGGTTCTGTCGCTGTATACTGGATCGTCCTCCTCCAGCCAACGTCTCCTCAGTTGGATGAATCATTGAAGCGGACCTAAATCATCTGTTCTATCCAAATGAAATACTATCGTCATGTGGTTCTGTCAAACATGACGCCATATGACAATGTGTGAAAGCCATTTCTGTTTAATATGACTCTATACTGGAACAACAGTTTCCTTGCATGGTTTAAATTTCATTCACGCCATATGATCATTGACTCTGGAGATTTCGTTGCATTAACGCAAACAGAAACATGCATGATATATACTGAAGTCACTAAAGTGTATCTCACCTCCATTTTACTTTGTGACCGCCTCCGTGAATTGTTCAGTGGTTAGAGCATCCGCCCAGAGAGCGGAAGGTCGTGGGTTAGATCCCCGACCGCGTCATACCAAAAGACGTTAAAATATGGTACTTGTTGGTCCTGCCTGGCGCTCGGCATTAATGGGTACAACAAGGACTGAGATCGACTCGGAGTCCGGTATAATGTGTCTGAGTGGGGTATTCATGATTCAATGCGGCATGGTATCTCAGTGGGCTAGCACTATAAGACCAGCTTAAGTCTGGGCTGAGTACAAGCACCCGCCACATACACATACACGCATGCACGTTGTCATATGAGCGAAAATTCTAAAAGTACGACGTAAAAGCCAATTTCACCCTCACCTCACCATTTACTTGTTTCACCTGTCACCTGGTACTGAATGGTACGTGGTTCTGTGTGGAAAGTATGTATACGCGAATGTACTACTATTTAATGCACAGAACAAACAATGTGTCTATTTCCTTTGAAATCTCTGTAACTGCTTATATCTGCATCTCTATGTACTTTTGATTGTCATTTTTTTTACTACATTTTCTAAAATATCTTGTAATAAAAATTTCCAATTCCTTGAAGTAAGTCTTCCTTGGGTACTCTAGCACCGAAAACATGAAACACTTATAAGAGGGGTACGTCAAAGCCCGCAGTCCTAGACCTACCAGTTGTCCGACTTCCCATTATTGTGGAAGTCGCGGTAGCTGAGTGGGTTGACGGCTGACTTTGTGTGCTGGCGATGGAGTGCCTGACTCTGAGGGTGCGAGTTCGAATCCCGGATGGGGAGGCTCAACCAAAAAAAAAAGTACTAGAATTTGTACTTTACTAAGAAAGTGTTATCCCAAATACAACATATGTTACATGTCTAATGGTCGTGCAAAATTTTTTTAATCCCTACTAGTTGCTTTTACTAGTCAACGAGAGAATTTCGAGATCCTGGCCGACAGTTTGGATTGCAACATTTTGGCAAGGCATATCAAAGGAAAATCAACATCTTTGCAGATGCTTTATCATGACAAGACAAGGTCCTATAGACAGATGGATGCTTCATTCAGAAGCCTTCATGCCAATAACGGTGAGAAATGGGAACAACCTCATATAAATCTGTTCACAAAATCCTGAACAATCAATTGCAGAAATATATCAGCCAAGTTCAAGATCTGCAAGCTTATGCAGTGGATGCAATGTCGACATATTAACATGATGTCATGTTTTAAAAGGTCAGTGTGCAACAGTTGTGATGATGTCATTTGTGTGTGCAGCGGCTTTACGCGTGACGTAGGAAGTGATGACTTCAAGGAAGTTTATGGCGCTCTATGGACGTCTACAGCAAGCTGACAGGATCTTTCTTCTGGGAGGACATATTCCCTCATCTGATGTGTCTACCGATGCGCATATAATATGTGCTGGTATCATGAAGCAAAATTAACCAACACAGCGCGTTCTCGGGAAGTCTTAACCTGCGTCAGCAAAGGGAACTGTCCTTCTGAGTTTCATTCCTGATGTTTATGTTTGCTAAAGAATGGACTTTGTACATTTCGCCTATATAGACGATATATATTTATTGTGGGGAAGCAACCCTGTGAAGTGCTTTACTGACGTTATCCTTATTGTGGGACTTTGTGTCGAGCCCATATCCTTTTACTACGTGCTTAGGTGGCCATTCGTTGCAGCTGCCGCACAAATATAGCTGACTTCCAACCCTCATGTCACAGATCAGTACCACAATACCACCAGCTTTCAGTACCACACCTGTACAATGCCGCGGCAATTACCACACCAGTACGATACTATGACCAATTACCACACCTGTACAATTCCATGACAGTACCACACAAAGTACAATACC